GAGAGAACCGGTGTTTAGCCGTACATATGGGAAGCCAAATGCACTGAAAGTGGGACGAAACAGTGCGATATTACAGAGCTCGCGCCGCGCTGACCTGTCATCGGCGCGGATCAATTGACCGAGCCACGCGACCGTGCTACCGAACGGATCTCGTACTACGAACGGCGCGAACTAATCTCACAAGCGCAGTGCTGACGAGTTAAAAAAAAGTAATCCATAGCGTCCTCAGCAGCTCAGATGTTGGAAGAAAATGAAGACTCTTATGTTCAGTCTTACATCCAAACACAGAGCACCGGGATTGCTTGCGAGACATTGTTGACGTTACAGCTGCTCGAGCGCGGAGAAAAAGGAGGACAGTGTACAACCGCTGAGGGCAGAAACTACAGCAATGCAGGGCTGTCAATCAACCCCCGATGCAATGTGACGTCACACTGCATGACAATCAAAACGGCAGGCCTAGTGAGACTGACTTGGTTGAAAGGGGATTAAAAAATGAGGAGTGGGTGGATTTTTATCATTGTAGGGTGGTTGTGTTCTCACCCTGCTCACACACATTTATGTCCAAACACCACGTACAAGTGGATTTTGCATAATAGGTGCCCTTTAAGTTGCTTCAGTCCAGTAAATGATCTGATATTACTAACAATATACAAGATATTCTTACAAAAAGACACGTGTACCACGACCTGAAGGGAACGTTTTAACAATTATGCTAAAAGACCTTTTACTTGCTAAGTTATAAAGTGTCAATCAGATGACTGAAGGCATGTAGTAGATTGTGTAATACTATCTGAAGTTCCAGAGCACCATCATCTTTATGATATACAGTATGTCACATCAGTGCACACTCACATTTGTGGCTCTCATCCATACAGGTGCAAAACCTGCACAGCTGCGTCCAGGTGATCAACGACTTCGTCTCTCCGGAGCACGTGGTGCATTCGTTCCACTTAACCCAGGAACTCCGATCCTCCAAAGAGGAAATCAACTATGAAGATAAGCTACAGGTAGAGTGGAAATATCACAGCATGTCAACATTTATTGGAATATTAAGGCCTGAACTGGATCGCAGTGTCTCTATGATTTGTCGCTCAGTAGGTTGTTACACAAAAAATACTAACAATGAAGTGTCTGTGAGAAGACTGCCATTTGTTTTCTTTTTTAAGGCCTGAACTGGATCGCAGTGTCTCTATGATTTGTCGCTCAGTAGGTTAAGTTACACAAAAAATACTAACAATGAAGTGTCTGTGAGAAGACTGCCATTTGTTTTCTTTCATTACTGTTTATAACTGTTTGTATCAGTGCACATGCAGTCTGATTGCTGCCACTTACATTATAAACTCAAATACTCTTAAAAATAGACTCCTGACAAAAGAACAGATTTCATATTTTCAGATGCATTGTTAGACATGAGATAGCATAAAAGTTACAAATATCAGGATTCCCTTTGAGGTTTCAGAGCAGTTCGCCAGCGATGAATACCGCACATTTATCCCAATAGATTGCTTATGATCCACTGCTGATGAATTATGACAATGTTTCCTTTATGGACTTTATACTGTAATATTGTGTAGATGGATGCAAAAGTGCACATTTGATCTCCTTTATCTTTTTACATGAGCAGCTGGAAGTAGTAAAGCAAGAGTCCTGTGTATTTTGGGCTTGTTTGTAATTGAAAGCCCCATATTATGCATAAAAACGTAAATTAAACCAATTTGCTATTAATTTAATTAATCAGCACATCATGTAATTAATTACATTAAGTATTATCACTTGGCAGCCCTGTTTTTAACACATTCAGTATATAGATTTTGCCAGTAATGTTATGTTTTTTCTTTTAACACAGTCCATTAATCGATCTCTACTTCATATGTATTGATATATTAGTACCTATTTCAGTTTCAAAAATGCGCACCAGTAAAATAATTTCAGATAAATTGAGACGTACAGTATGGTTTGGACATACGGTATTCATTTTATAGGTCTTAAAATTATGATGAATGTTTCTCAGCACTGCAGTCATCAGTTGGCATGCCATTTCAGACGCCTCTCGTCAGAGTCCGGGAATCAGCTGCGATGTTGCGTGATTCTAACAGCCTGTCATGTCTCTCAGGTCAAGAACATCTTTTACCACTGCGTGAAGAATGCCGTGGGAACATTAAAGAGGTGCTGTGCCGAGGAAGAGGAGACGAACTCATGACACTCGTCAACACGCTCCCCCAAATATGCACACTAACGCTCACACCGCGAACCTCCAGTGCCAAGCAGAGAAAACCCACCAGTAAACTGTATTTATTTGTTACCGACACCATAGCAGTATAGCGCATCAGGATGACTGTGATCGACACGCCACACACATCTGAAGAATCTAGTGTTTGTTTGTCTGTTTGGTTTCGTTCCCATTTTGTTCTTTCATACTGTATAGTTTCAGTGGAGAATCATATTTATTTTTAGGAGTTCTGTGCTCTGTTCTCGATCAAATGTAAATGTGACTTGTACAGTTTGCTAATGGATTTCTGATGGCGCTCACTACTTTGGAGTTACTGTGAGAGAGATCCGCTGTCTCGTGTCCTCATGCCATATCTTTTGAGAAAAGAACTGCCAAACAATTGTAAACATTGTAAAGTTCTATTATGTAAAGAAAGACTTAACTCACTTCAACATTTTATTAAGTATTCACTGTAAAATGGAGACATTTACAAAAAAAAAAGTTGTAATTTATTTAAGAAAAAAATGTCGTTTCTTTTTCTTTTTTATGTTCAGATTTACTATGGCGAACTTTTGAAGTTCAATGGAAAAAGCAAATCGTACTATGCTGTGTAAATATATACATATATACATTCACTGATGTATTTTTTTAAACATGGCTTGCTTCAATTTCAAATTTTAAAGTGCAAGTGTTACATGCTTTGTACATTGAAGTTCAAAGGGGTTTTACATTTTCCATTAAAATGGATTTATCAAATATCTGCCTGCCTTTTGCCTTCTTGACAAGATGAACGGTTCAAGATAACATGTTCAATGTTTGGCCAATATATACATTTAAATATATTCTGGTAATCAAAATGTAATGATTTGCTTTGCCTCTGAAATTAATGTTAACCAATAGCCAGACAGTCAGTTCTAGTGCTTGTTTAGTATGTAATGCCCTCTTTTTACAAGCCAGTGAGTGTCTTATTGAGAATATCAAATTCTTGATTTTCTGCACAATAGTCTTTGCCCACTTTTGAACACATGCTGTGTCATTCACAGATTGAACACCAGAGGAGGCTTTTGTGGGAATTTAGAAACTATGAAATCAACACTTGTTTGTATTGCAGTCACTACTATTTCAAAGTCTCTGATAAAAAGAGTTTTACACTTTGATAATGTTTTATACAAACCTAAAATGCAGTACAATTGTTTTTACATTAACTAATACCTTTCAAAATCAGTGACCAATTTAGACCCGTTTGCATCAGTGGGCCGTTGACATGCTATATTCCATCAAAAATGACTTCAAACATTCTTTTATAATTATTATGAATGCAGCATTTTGTGAGCTCATACTCCGTAGACTGGATGGGATGTTTGTACTATTGTAGTATACTTTCAAAATAACTGAAAACGGATTTATGCTGCCACTTGTTAAAATCTTTAATTCTTGTCAGAACAGGAAAACTCACAAAAGAATTATACATAAATTCTTGTTTTCAATATCTTAATCACATACGTACAGCTACCGTAGAACAGCCATTCATGCATCAAAACACTTTCGTCATATGATTTTCATTGATTTTTACATCACAAAACAAAAAGTAAAATAACAAAATCTAATGCACCCTGATTACTGTGGTAAACCAGTAATTAAATATTGAATTAAAAACAAAATAATAAAAAGAGCAAAATGTGGATTTGGTTCCCTCTTCATGACACAAATATAAGCCATAAATTCATCTCTTCCCAGGCGCGTCTGGCACATGTTGGTAGCTTTTGATTAATGTGAGGAGTGAACCTGGTTTATTGTTAGAGCAAGGTATGATTGTGCAATCAGTTACCTGAAAATATTAACACCGTGACCCAGACAATCCTTGATTGATGAGTACAATGAAGCTTCAAACAAACCAAAGAGCCAAGCTTTCAGGACATGTCCATTCCTATGCTGTTTGCATTGCGTCTGAAGAATGGCACAGCGGAGATGAGAAACAACAAAATGAATGAGTGATTCTGTAGCACTTGACCAGATTATTGCTTATAGTTCCGAATGCAATAGTCTCACGCTTATGTTCAGCCTCCTGTAGAAATGATCCACCACTGTTTTTGTTTAATAAGTTGCTACAAATCGTCCAGAGATGACATCATGACTGGGCTTTGTACTAATTGCAATAAGGCAAAACAAGTGCTGCAAGCTGGTTATCAGTGTACGGAAACAGAATGCATAACTAATTGCATTGAGGCCTCTCGGCTTCCTCTATGCCCTAAATCTGCGCCGTTGATAGACGACTGAAACTGCATAACCACAACGTCGACAACGATGGTGCTGATCAACAGATACTGCACAAAACCCTCACACACACACACACACACACACACACACACATATAGTTCACAGTGTCTGTGTAGGAAATAGTTTTCGATTGAAAGTGGGATTTTGCAAGAGGCAAATTCACCTGCTGATAAAAAGTCTGATAACATAGTGTTCGACAGAATCTCCGATATCCCTTTTCACTCGTACTTCATAACAAAAAAAAAAAAATGCATTAGAAATGTTCAAAAAGGCACACGTACTTCAAAAAGAGTTGTTTTCTTTCTTTGTACATCCAATCGCTGCGGGGTGCCACTGAGAAGTCGTGAACCCGACGGTTGTGAGAACCGTCATTTACGCCACCGGGCTGCTTCGCCGTGAATGTGCCTCCTCTGCGTGTTCGCTGGCATGCAACGGCGATCGAAGTCTCCCTTTGGTGCGTGTTTTGAGTGCGAGCAGTCACAGCTTCTCCCCGTCCAGCAGCTCCTGCAGTTCCTGCTGGATGTCCTCAGGAAGCTCCAGGCCGGGCAGGTCTTCCAGAGGGATCTCCTGAGTGGGCATCTCCAGCGGAGGGAGCTGTGGGATGGGAATGTCCTTGGCCTTGCGCTCCTCGGCCGTCTGCGGAAGCACCCATAGCTCCGACCGCTCCACGAAGTCGGCATCGGCGTAGGGTTCCTTCTTCAGCCGCGCGTTCTCCGCCCGCAGCTGCTCGTTCTCCCGTTTCAGCTGCTCGTTTTCAGACACCAGCCGGTCCACCAGGTTGCGTAGGTCGTCGATGGTGGTCTGCTGCTCCTCTAAACGGGTTTTGTCGTCTTTCTGGGCTTTACTGCCAGCGCAGGGCTCTGGGACAGTGCCTTTGTTCTTCAGAAGATACAGCCAGGTGTCGTACTCTCGTTCGGAGGGTTGGGAGACGTCTGTGGTGGCTCCGGCCGGCTGTAGGTGGCGGCGTGGCGTCTGGTCTGAGGCGGGAACGTGCTGGAGCGTTCTGGGCTTGTCCTCTCGCTTTGCTCGCTTCCATTGCTCCTCGATCAGCCTTTGCTGCTTGATGTGACTGTCCCTCTGAAGCTCCAGAGACAAGCGAGCCTAACAGGAAAGAAACATCTCATAAGCCGCTTTTCCACTATCGGGTCGAACGGTTCTCTTTGCTTAACCGTTCCATTCCGTGCCAGTCAGCACGGATACGGTTTCATTTTCCACTGTGGTGCTGATAATGGAGCTCTTTGGAATGTAATACAAATGCATCAGTCGTTGCCTTGGTAACACAAGTGTAATGTAAACAGCGATATGGATGATGATCAGATATTTCTGTTTTTGGGACTCCTTTTTTATCTGATATTTACTTCGTTAAATAACAGAAAAAAGGATACAACTCGACGCGAAAAATAAAATAAACACAAGGCGACGACGGGTATAATATCAATAAGTGCAAATGTTTCCTCCACAGACTGTCTCAGGCATTTTTTCTTTTTTATATTGAACGTAGCATAGCTGTTTGATAAAATAGCGTGCTTCCGCTTAGCCAGCTATGGAGAAACTGGTAGCCAGGCAACAGAGTGGCGACGTCACGCACACGCACTCTACCAGCACGGCTCAGCACGGTTGTCTAACCGTGCCGAAAATTCCAGGCCGAGAACGGTTTGTAATAGTGCCGCACCGTACCAGGCTCATGTGGAAATACAACTGGAACCGTACCCGACAGTTCTTAGAACCGTTCGGCACGATAGTGGAAAAGCAGCTATTGTCAATTTTATCCACGATAAATAATAAAGAAAATGCAGGACAATGAGGACCATCTAGGCGTACCTGTTCACACTCGGTGAGCTTCATGGCCTCCTTGAGAAGTTCTGTGGAGACATGACATAAGTTAATTAAGCACACACTTCCAATCTGAAGTTGAGCCCAGTGGTACTCATAGATTGTACAAAAAATATTGTTTAGGCTCAAATTCGACTCGCCGAGCTTTGGCGCTCTTTGTGAGACAAACCAAAGGAGACTAAAGCCTTACACATAAAAAACTGCTTCTCATGAGGATGCATTCAACATTTACACAGGTTAGTCTGTGATTTTATTGCTGTTCGAATCCAGAATGTCTGTGTTTTTCTCCCACCACCTGTGTACAAATGTACAACTGAATGACCTACTGCTTTTTGACAAACACCAAGGTTGTGTGGTACCTACATCTGTGATTTTGTGAAAAATTTGGATCAATCCAATTTTTCTGTAAATCCTTTTTAACCACTGCCAAGCAGTGTATGCTAACTTTTGCACTTCACGGTAAGGTGAACGCATTAGAAATATGGATACTTTGATTAATTAAAAGATGAAACTACAGCTCCACTACAAGGAATGGGAGCTGTTAACAAGAACAATAAAAAAACAGAACATAAACATGTAAACTAATGACATTTTTTAAATATTTATTATATAGATTTATATAAAATTACCATGAAGTATTAGGGCTGGACGATATGGCCAAAATTGATATCACAATATATTTCTTAATTCCAGTCAATACGATATTCGAATTCCGATATCGATATGAACAATTTTAAAAAAGGTCTCAGAAAAACTGCCAAGAACACCCACAACTGTACCTGTACCAACAAACTTCTAAAAAAATAAAAATTTGCCAAGTCTATGAAACCTCCTATAAAACTATATAATATTTTAGAAATAAAAACGGTACAAATAAATTAATGTTCACCTTTTCTCTCAGAGCTGCGTTTGACACTGTCGATCATAACATACTTCTAGAGAGACTGGAAAACTGGGTCTGGCTTTCTGGGATCGTCCTCAAATGGTTCAGGTCATACGGATGTGCCAGAACTTTCTTCAGTTAAACAAGAAGAAAACTGAAGCCATTGCATTTGGAAACAAAGATGAAGTTCTCAAGGTGAATGTATACCTTGACTCCAGGGGTCAAACAACTAAAAATCAAGTCAGGAATCTTGGTGTGATTCTGGAGTCAGACCTTAGTTTCCGTAGTCATGTCAAAGCAGTAACTAAATCAGCATACTATCATCTCAAAAACATTGCAAGAATTAGATGTTTTGTTTCCAGTCAAGACTTGGAGAAACTTGTTCATGCCTTTATCACCAGCAGGGTGGACTATTGTAATGGTCTCCTCACCGGCCTTCCCAAGAAGACCATTAGACAGCTGCAGCTCATCCAGAACGCTGCTGCCAGGATTCTGACTAGAACCAGAAAATCTGAGCATATCACACCAGTCCTTAGGTCCTTACACTGGCTTCCATTTATATTTAGGATTGATATTTAAGTACTTTTACTCGTTTATAATTCACTCAATGGCCTAGAACCTAAATACATTGCAGATATGCTCACTGAATATAAACCTAACAGACCACTCAGATCATTAGGATCAAGTCCGTTAAAAAATACCAAGGGTTCACACAAAACAAGGGGAATCTGCTTTTAGTTAGCATGATGCTACAGTTTGCATGAATGGTCACATAACACGCGCTTTCGGTCGTGTAACGTTAGTATCAGAGCTGTAGGCTCTGGTTAGTATGAACGGACATCTGCATATGATCGGAACTCCACGCAGCTCCCGCGCTACTCTATACTGGTGGTATTACAGTACCACGAGAGCTAAAGAGAGCAGACTGCTCCGTGCGCTTTCGAATCGCTCTCGCGGATGATCGATCTGCGCCGCGCCTCTAGTCGAACACACCGGCTAGTGCTGCAGGCTTATTGGCTCACTGACGCTGATGAGATTAACCCCTTAGGTATCGAAATTTGGTACCGAACGACAAGACGTTTTTCGATACTCGATGGTATCGAGGCAATTCGGTCGGTGCCTAAAAAGTATCGAACTCGATACCCAGCCCTACACAAAACTCATCTGTTTAGCTGTGCATTTACTGAATGAGCACTGTGCTACGTCCGAACTGACTGCACTGTATTTCATGTATAATCATTTTCTATTCTTAACTGTTTTAATTCATTTAAAATCTATTTTTAATTAATTTTAAAAGGTTTTTTTTTAAATTCCTTGTTTTTAATGTGATTATATTTTTTAATGATTATTTTACTTCCTTTATGTAAAGCACTTTGAATTACCATTGTGTATGAAATGTGCTATATAAATAAACTTGCTTTGCCTTTTATTTGCATTTAGCCTTCATACAAACAAGAAATGTGAAATCACCTTCAAACAAACATAAGACTCTCAGACACACCTTATTAATATTAATATCTTTAACTTTAAACTATAATATAGGCTGATTATTCTTACAGATTGAAACAAAAGTGTTTCAGCCAGGATAAAGAATATTACAATTGCTCAGAGTTGCTGCATAAAACAGTAAAAAGAGTGAGTAACAACAAAAACATGTTGCTGGAGACGGGCTTATATAAAATGCAAATCCATTCTCTGCCAGCAGGAGGTGCTTTGGGAGCAGCAGAAACAGTGGTTTCCCCAGTAACGGCTGTAAAGAAAGCAGTGCTGCACTCATGAATGCTACTTTATGAGATAAAATAAAAATGCCATCTAAACTTTTCTGAAGACAGTCGGCTCCTTTCAAACATACATTCATATAAAACACCCACACCACATTTTGATTTTGAAACATTCAATGCTTATGTTTATCAAACGGCGTCAACAGCCACAAATAAATCAATGTATGGGAAACACTGGTAATGCATATTGAATTATTGGAAATGCGTTTAAAAATCATATCATCGTTATTGAAAAAAATTATATCGCAATATATATTGATATTGAATTATTGTCCAGCCCTATGAAGTAGTTTTAATTCTTTACATTTAAATTTTTTTTAACTTCACTGAATTAAATTCATTTTACTAGTCTAACAAGTACCCTGGTCAAGAATTTATTTCTGCTAAATTCCACTTTTTTAAAATAACATCCATTTTTAGAGATAAAATGCAGGACAGAAAGCAATTTAAAATATAGTGCATCAATATTTGTCTTTTTAACTAGATATTTTAATAATTAAAAAACAAATAGGATATTGTTTTCCTAATAAAATAAATATGAATGAATGAATGAATTGTCCAAGCAAATAACACATTTTGTTTACAGCTGACAATCATGTGACTGACCACATTGCCAGGTTAGCGGGATCACAGAACTAAATCCGAATCCGAGGTGTCGTGTAAATTTATTTTCACAGATGTCCCCATGAGAAACAATTAGTGTCCGAACAACCTAAACCAACCTGCAGCTTTTCTGTGGCAGGAGATGGCATCTTCAAATTTCCCTGCAGCCAGCAAGCGGTCTGCTTTCCTGCACTGTTGATGGGCCTGAAAGAGATGACATTATTTCATTGAGTTTATTAACACAGTACAGATACTCAATGACAGCTCATTACCTGCTGCTACAGTATTTCCCCTGATTAACTCTAAACCTACATGAGATTCTAAAGAAAAGTTCATCCAATCCTTTCAATCTCAATGGATGGGTATATAAACCGATGTGACAATGCTTGTTCTGTCATACCTCCACCACTCCAGCTCCAGCTATGTTATGATCTGCTTCGATTTTGCTGTAGTTCACCTAGCAGTCCAAGGAGATCATTAGGAACTCAAGTCTCATGCTCAGACCCTCCACTGTTAACCTCATTTCACTCAAGGACTAAATGTGAACTCCGATTTTAACTAAGATGTTTAATCACACACCCAGGCAATCATCAACATCAACATATTTATCCCAAAGCACAAGTATCCAGTGTTTACAGTGGCGTCTGAGACCACAATGAAAATCTGACAGTCAAAATCTAATTTAAACTTGGAAATACATATATTTTTGACATTGATCATGCGAAATCTTTCTACAGATGGTCAGGTGTTCTTGGTTCCATTGACCCTTGTGAAAAAGAAGTGCACTTAATTCGTATGTGTACTTGTAGTCTATTTAAAATCATAAAAGTAAAGTACATTTAAAAATAAAACATTTTTTAGTCATCCTTAAAGAATCAAACTTATTGAGATGTGACTAACTCACTAAAACACATGTAAGGTACTTTTGCTGTAGCGTGATTTGATATTACATTTCAAATTGATATATTTTAAATGCACTACATTACATCATCACCATTACAAAACAAAAACAGGATTCAACAGAAATTATATTTCGCTTCCCATAAACACAGTACATTTCGCAGTACACATTAAACCGATTTCAAAGAGAACAGAATTATGAAATGCATACAAAATGTACTACTCAAGTGGGTCAGGTTCAAATACTTGCATTTAATATAAATTTAAACTATAACATATATATATATATATATATATATATATAAATTACATGCAATAAGTATTCATAACATCACATTCAGTTTGCACTTAAATATACTATTATTAAAAGTATATTATTTCCATAAGTACTCTTTTTTTAAAAGTATGCTAAAGTGTACCTTTTCACAAGGGGAAGATGTTCTTATGAATACGTATTAAATTAAAGTATATTACATATAATATTCATTTATATTGTTTTTAGAAGAATTTAGTGATCTTTGGACCCAACTATCACTGAAATGTATCTATAAAGATATATTAAATACGCTGTATATTTAATCATAACTTCAAAGTAAACAGATCCTTCTGCTCTCAATTTCAGGATTATATTACGAACAGTCAACAGTAACGTACTGCCATCGGTCATAAGACTCTAGGAAATAATAAAGCACACATTTCGAGTCATAAGTCAGTGTGTGCGTTTGATCAGCTGCCAGCAGTAAACAAACACACACATGGAGGCTAACTAAAACCGACTAACGTTACATTAAAATAGCACAAGGTTTATACGACGTCTTCACATGACGGTTAAATGAATTAAAGACCCGGGTACGTTAGCCTCTTCGCCGCTTTATTTTAATTTGTTAGGAGATGAAATGCGGCTATGCTAACAGATGCTAGCATGCTAATGTAGCTTGTAAACAGACACTTACGAGATTGAGAGGACTGTCCAGCACCTCCATTACTTCATCAACTGCACGAGAGACTCATTGGCACATTATTGTCTTTATTCCGGGACCAGAGACTCTGGTTTCACCGGCTGCTGATCCACTGCTACAATAGACGAGCAAAAACAACAACTTCCCCCTCCGCGACGTCACCGCCGCGTCACCTCACAGCAACGCGCGTCACGTGACAACGCTTTTCTTTTTATCATTTCTACTTAGTAAATCACGCGAAATCATATCACATTCATAAGCGACATGTTTTAGTCTCAGACGTGTCTCACTCACTAGATGAAACCGTGTTCAAAATCTATTCTGGAATGCTGTGATGTTACCTCACCACTAGAGGACGCCTTTGTCCTACAAATTCAATATTTACCATAGACTGTATAAAAACAGATAATTAACAACCAAAAAAGTTTACCGTGTTTCTTGGACCTGGCATAATAGTAGTGCAAATGGGTACTTTTTTTTAGACCTGTATCTATAATATGAAGTACCTTGGAGTATAATATAAATATGGTAAATAAGCGTAACAGTATTCCTCTCTAATGTCATGTAAATGACGTGTAATTTACTTCATAATAACGCAGCAAAACGGCAAAGCAACACAGATAAAAGTATTTTTTTCTTATTCTTTGCATATATCTTTGTCCCTGTTAACTATAACATATTATCATTTTATTTTAATATTATTTAATACATATAAATTAGTATAACATATAAAAATATATTTATTTTAATATTCAAAGGCATTGATGGCATCTCGTATCAATGCCTTTGTATTTGACTCTTATGTGCTGACCGTATGTCCCCATTTGTTATTGTCTGTTGTAAATATTTGCTATTGCAGTAAAAAAAAAAAAAAGACGAAAAGAGATTACTAGTAAATTTCGAAAATAAGTACAAAGAAACAGCAAGTAACACATTGAATTAAATATGAAATTTTGAAGTAGGAAGACTGAAATTGTATTTTCTTCTAAAATATACTCCAGTATTTTTGTTTTTATTTATTTGTTTGTTTGTTGTGTACATTTACATTTACACATTTACATTTAGTCATTTTGCAGACACTTTTATCCAAAGCGACTTACAATTGGGGAATACATAAAGCAATTGTTCTTAAAGAGGCCAATAGACACAGGAGGTGCTTGTAATACCAAGTTTTAGGCATTGTTCAAATAAGTACAAGCTAGAAAGGGAAGGAATAAATAAAGAGAAAGACAAAGTTTTGTTTTCATCATTTTTTTTTAATTTAAGATGAAGTCAAGTAGCGTTGAAAGAGATGAGTTTTCAGCTGTCGCTTAAAAATTGTCAGGGATTCAACATTCCGGATAGGGGTGGGAAGATCATGTTCTGGAAAGTGATCCATGCCGAGATGTCCGCCAGGCAGCCTGAGATCCGTGCAGCTACCGTTGGATCATCTGGTTGAAATGAGAGATAGAGTTGTGTGTCATCATCAGCATGTATAGATGTAATTAATTGGTCAAACGTGTATGTGAACATTAAGTGCATTGTATCAGATGATTTATTTAAATGTTAGTACATAGTAGTAAGACCTTTAATATAAAATGGGTCCCAATGTAACATTTAAGGGGGTATTTGATATCCCTCAGACACTTTGGTCAGTGTAACAATGTGAAATATCATACACATACATCAAAGACACAGTCAAGATTATATGCTGTGTGTTTTTCTGTCCAGTGGTTGGACATTCCTTGCACAGCATAATATTTTGTTCATTCAAAGAGTGCACTTATTAACCGGTGACGTCATCAGCTCAAGTGCTTTGTTTTTGTTGTCAAGTGCCACTTGCTTTATCCAAATGCTCTTCAATTACTACTAATAGAGAACAGAACTGGATCAGATACAACCTCATGAATCACAGCCTAAACACCGCCCTGCCATACACTCACAACACTCTCAGGGCAATATAAGGCCAGGCAATGCACATTTCATACAAAAACCTTTGATCAGCCTTTTGCTGCATTTGTTTGATTTTTTTTTTTTTTACATTCAATGATATTACATTTAATTTATATTGCTCAGAAGTTACTCCTTCGAAGCTCATGTGACTTAATTTACTTTTAAGCCAAGTCAAGTCACATTTATTTATATAGCACTTTATTCAATACGGATTGTTTCAAAGCAGCTTCACGGTAATAAACATGAAAATAACAGTGCCAATGTTGCCAAATTTGTTATTAAATTGTTACAGTTTTTAAACAGCTTCAGTTTTACTTGTATAGCAGCTCTACAGAAGACAATAGTGTCATTATTTGGTTCAGTTTAGTTCAATGTTGATTCATTGTCTCATCTGGCTCTCAAACATTTCCTCAGGAGAAATACAAAAAAGACACAAGTCGATGAATGTTGATAGCATAGCTCAGATCATTTGGTCTGGCAAGAATTTGATTAAAAAAATGTTTGTTCATAATATTGAAATATCTTGCCAAACCTGGGCATAGTTTTGAGACGCTGTTGAGGTCTCTTCAGAAACTCAACAGGAGACATGAGGCTACTAAGCAGAGAAAAAAATCATTTGCTCTTCATTTAGTCTCATTGCTGTCCGAGAGAAACAATCGACATATTAAAGAGATCTCATTTGAGATATTTCAACAGACATTTGAAACTGTATTCTTCCACAAAATATAAGACATGTATATTTCGAATGCAATGTTTGTGATTCACAAGCCAGTCATGTTGATTATAAGTGTAAATAACCCATATTTAGCATGGACTCTCTGTGTTTTGTGTACTGTATCAGAATGCAGTCGCTGGAACACCGTGGGTGTCCATCGAGACAACGGACAAATGTGAATCGAGTCATAACTCATTGAAAAAAAGTCTGTCCGTTCATGTACAGCAGGCCACTGGAACAGAGCTGCCTTTGTTCTGGCCTCTGAGGTGCAAAGTTAGCCTGCTTTTCTCCTTCAAAGCGATCCTAACTGCCGTGTATGTGTGGGATTCATTGTGAACCTGTTTCACATGCTGCTAACTTGACACTTGTGTGACCGATCCTTTATTTAGTACATGAATGATGTCTTCTGAGCTCGATATTAACTATGTGATGTTCTGAAGCACCACGGCTAGGTGTTTAATGTTCAGAAGAGCATTTAATCATGCTGCTCTTATTTCTTCAGAAATATATTGTATGTGCATTCTGTATTGTTTGAACTTTTTTCTGAATGCTTAGCTTTTCAATTCAATTCAATTCAATTAAAGTTTATTTGTATAGCACTTTTCACAATTCAAATAGTTGCAAAGCAGCTTTACAGGAAATTAAACTTTCTACATTATAGCAGTAGCTTATCAGTGGTTAAGCTGATGTCCATATGGCAGAAATGTACAGTAAAAATAATGCAGTTAGTTAATTACATGTAATGCAGAGGCTAAACCATTAAAGGCCTTGTAAGTAAGTAGTAATATTTTTTAACTGAAACAGAACTTAATAGGTAGCCAGTGCAGAGACTGTAAAATTGGTGTAATATGATCATATTTTCTTGACCTGGTAAGGACTCTAGCAGCTGCATTTTGGACTACCTGTAGCTTGTTTATTGAAGGTGCAGGACAACCACCTAGCAGTGCATTACAATAGTCCAGTCTAGAGGTCATGAATGCATGAACTAGCTTTTCTGCATCAGAAACAGGTAGCATGTTCCGTAGCTTGGCAATGTTTTTAAGATTGAAGAATGCTGTTTTTGTAACGTGGTAAATATGCTGTCTAATATAACACCCACATTTTTGACTGTAGAGGAAGTAACTACATCCGTCTAGATGCAAATTGTAATCTAAGAGATTCTATTTACTGTTTTTATATGTTATAATTAGTAATATCTCTGTCTTATCTAAATTTATTAGGAGCAAATTATTGGTCATCCAATCTTTTACATTTTACATTCGCTTATTATGAATGCCTAGGACAGATCCTTGTGGCACTCCATACTTGACTGGCATTAATTGAGATGATTCCCCATTTAAATGGACAAAGTAATAGCGATCGGACAGGTTGGATCTAAACCATCTTAAAGCCTGCCTGTCACGGTTACTACTGTGTGGAGGCGAGGAACACGGAGATGAAGGAGAGTAATGAGTAACAGTCTTTATTCATCCAAAAAAGGGGTAACATAGGGCAGCCAGGAACACACACGTAGCACAAAGTAATGACGACACCGGACAAAGGAATCACAGGACAGACTACACTTTAAATAATAAACTAAATGAGGATAATAGACGAGACACACCTGAGCCTAATGACACAATCAAACAAGGGAGAAACTAGGTCACGGAGCACATGGGGAGGGAAAACACAGCAAAACAGGTCCATATTCCAGACATATTGCCCCCCCTCCCGGAAGGTGCGTCTTCGCGCTGTAGAAACAACAGAGGGAGGGACGGGTGGGACCTTGGGAGGAGGCTCGGGAGGAGGACGGACACCCGGGAGGGATGAAGGAGGGAGGAGCCAGGGAGGAGAGAGGAGGGACTTGGAGCATGCGGCGCCAGGTGGGACCCAGGCCACAGCCGTAATGGCGACCCACGGTGGAGCCGACGGAGGAAGGAGCCATGGAGGAGGAAGAGCTGACGACTCCAGGGGGCCAACCAATGGCAGCGGAGGAGCCCGAGGCAGAGACGGAGAGCCGATGAGCCAGGGTGATGAGGAGGATCCGGAGGGCTGAGGTGGAACAGATGGCTCAGGCGACCGATGCGGAGGCGGGGATCCGGAAGGCTGCGGTGGAGCCGGAGCGACAGAGGACCGAGGAGAAGCCGAATGGAAGGAGGAGCCTGACAGAGCTGGAGGGATGGAGGGACGAGGCGCAGCCGGAGGAGTGGAATCCCGAGGCGACGGATGGTCGACGACAGACCAAGGCGGAGCCAGAGGGAAGAGGGAGCCCGGCGGAGCCAGTGGACTGATGGACCACAGTGGAGAGGAGGGAGCTAGGAGCCATGGTGGAGCCGCTGGGGCGATGGGTCGAGGCAGAGTCCGGGACTCAGAGGCTGGAGGCGGAGGCAAGGGGTTCTCCAGCCACGCCGATGATGGAGACTGGCAGACCCGCGGTGCTCGCACCAAACAGATGGTGGGCTGAGGGTGAGCAGAGGTGCTGCCAGATGACAGCGGTGGTAGTGATGGCCGCTTTTGAAACACTGCTTCATGAAGCTTCGAAACCTTTGTGAAACATTTGTTTCGAAACAGTGGTTCGGAGCGCGTATCAAAATGCCAAAGTCACGTGATTTCAGTAAACGAGACTTCGTTACGTCATAACTGTTTCGAAACATTTCGA